TTTTTTTTCCAATGTACATAGTTTTTACAAGTATGAATGTGCTTTGAGCAATTGTTTTACAACTTTTATTTACAACTTTTAAACATCATTAAAATTTTTGTAACTCTAGCTTCAATTCGACAATATATCACTGAACATATATTTAATATCGTTGCTATAAACAATTGACACCACATCCACTTTTCACTGCACTTCATACTTGACGAAAACATGTAAATGTATTATTGTATAGCAGCTGTCCACGCGGACGCAACGCTCACTCAAGTAGGAGAAAGACAGATGTTGAACGCTGCCGAACGCGGAGGCCGATTGTGCCTCTTTGTCGCTCCCCCGATAGCCACATTTACTTCATATTTACGAAAAATTTACTATTCGTATCATCATGACATGTGTAAAGGTTGCTCACCTTGTTAACGTAAAAATTTGTAACATATTGTCTGCATTTCATGAGTCAAACGAATACTAAACACGAAGACAACTTTTCGTAAATTGAATTACTTTCGTAATTTACGTAAAATAGACATACCATTTAAGACATTGAAATGAAGAAACCTATGAGGCNCGAAAAATAATCCTGATAGAAAAATAAAATTAATTTACCTGGTACATTTGTTTTGTTGCTTATCGTTTAAAATGTTAATTAATAAAATACAGTGTCGTTCGTTGTAATGAATATCTTCTAATCGAAAATTTAAACCGTTCCGTATTTCAAATTTAGTATCCAAGAATGTTACAGAAGGATGTTCGTAACGAAAGTGATCGTAGAATGTCGTCACAGCTATAGTTTTATTGCAACTGAAGTATGGACAACACACCGGTCTAAAAATGCAAACAGTTTATATTAGTTTTTTATTTTCTTATCAAGAAGACTGGAAACTTTAGCGGTGTTGTAGAACACACTAAATATCTAAACAGACAAAATAGGACACTAAACCTTCGAAATGCATTTCGATAACAAAGTTATCCTCTTCAAGAACTGTTAATAAAAAGTACTTTGGATGTTTAATGTTGTGTTTTGGCGTAGAAATCTGAGCTATTTGGTGTATTTTAGAGCACTCTATATAGCTGAAACCCCAACGCTTAAACTCCAACACTAAACGTTCGAATTACATTTCGATAACAAAGTTATCCTCTTCAAGGACTGTTAATGAAAAGTACTTCGGATGTTTAATGATGTGTTTTAGCGTAGAGATCTGAGCTATTTGGTGTATTTTAGAGCACTCTATATAGCTGAAACCCCAACGCTTAAACTTCAACACTAAATGTTCGAATTACATTTAGGTATCAAAGTTTCCTTTTTTGGAGACTGATACTAAAAGTTCAGTGTTGTGTTTTGACACTGGGGATTGAATTACTTAGTGTACTGAATAGCCGAAATCTCAATGCTTAAACACTGAAATATTTTTTACTTTTCAGGAACCGATCTGGAATAGTTTAGTGTCGGCTTTTTGCGCTGGAGTTTGAACTGTTCGAAGTGTATTTTACAACACTTTAAGTAGTTGAAACCATAACTCTTAAACCCCAACACTAAACGTCCGAATTACATTTCGGTATCAATGTTTCCTTTTTTGGAGACTGATACTAAAAGTTCAGTGTTGTGTTTTGACACTGGGGATTGAACTACTTAGTGTATTCTACGGCACTCTGAATAGCCGAAATCTCAATGCTTAAACCCTGAAATATTTTTTACTTTTCAGGAACCGATCTGGAATAGTTTAGTGTCGGGTTTTTGCGCTGTAGTTTGAACTGTTCGAAGTGTATTTTACAACACTTTAAGCAGTTGAAACTACAACGCTTAAACCCCAACACTAAACGTCCGAATTACTTTTCGGTATCAATGTTTCTCTTTTCAGAAACTAACACCAAAAAGTTTAGTGTTGTTTTTTTTTGTTGGGTTTTGAGTATTTAGTGTATTCTACAACACTCTATACAACTGAAACCACAACGCTTAAACCCCAACATTAAAGTCCGAATTACTTTTTGGTAACAAAGTGTCCCTATTCACAAAGTGATATTAACAAGTTTAGTGTTAGCATTTGAGCTACTTGTGTGTTCTGCAACATTTTAAACGGCTGAAATTCCAACGTTTAAACTCGAGCACTAAACGTTCAAATTACTTTTCGGTAACGAAGTTTCACTATTCAGAAAGTGACAACGACAAATTTAGTGTTTTAGCGTTAGCGTTTGAACTACTTAGTGTGTTCTGCAACATTTTAAACAGCTGAAACCCAAACACTAAACGAACGAATTACTTTTCGGTATCAATTATTCCCTTTTCAGAGACTAATACCAAAAAGTTTAGTGTTGTACCTTTTCACTGGGGTTTTAGCTATTTAGTGTATTCTGCAACACCTTACACAGCTGAAATCCTAACTCTTAAACCTCAACATTAAACATGCGGATTATTTTTCAAGTTTGTATTGTGTTTTAGCGTTAGTGTTTGAACTATTTAGTCTGTTTTGTAACATTTTAAACAGCTAAAACCCCAACGCTTAAACCCCAACACTAAACGTCGAATTACTTTCAATAACAAAGTTTCCTTTTTCAGAAAATGATACCCTACTCCCAGAAAGAACGATATAAATAAGGTACTTGTAGTATCAGACCTTATGAAATACTGTTAATGTAATCTAAATGTAATCTGATGTATCCATTATGAAAATAATTATAGAAGTACACAAAATATTTGAATCTTCAATAATTTTTGGCTTTCTGTAATTTTCATTTAAACGTGTAAAATAATAATGATTACTTTCGACTTAACGAGGTCAAGCTTTGCTGACTGTCGCCCATTCGACCCAGAGAACTAATACTAGTCTTGGGATCATCTAAAATCTTTTTACATAATGATATTTCCCAAGGGCAGGGAAACATTTTTTTCAAGCCCGTCAAACAATCTTCTGACGGCTTAGAGACCTTGCTCATCCAGCAGTTGCAATGCTTGTAGGGGCATTTTCTTTCCTTTCCTACAGGAAAACAGTTCAACTTCATAAGACGATTTCGTAAGTAGTCCTTAGTTCTACACTTAAAGAAGTTTGTGATAATCTAACCGTCGAGACTTTGTATACATGTTCTTTATGTCAAGTCGAACAACTTTTTCTACTTGCGAAAACTAGACGCAGGGGTGTTTTCTTTAGGGAACCTCGCAAACTCATTCATTTTGTGTTAAAAAATTTTAATGACCTAAACAAGAAGTGGTGTTATAGGCGGATGATGAGGATATCGTGGGTAGAAAAGGTTAGAAATGAAGAGGTATTGGAAAGAATAGGAGAACAGAGGACTCTATGGAAGTCAATAAAAAATAGGCGAGATAGGTTGGTAGGACACCTTCT